ATTTAACGGAAAATTGAGAAAAAAAAGAAAAGAAGAGAAAAAAAGAGGAAAATTTATTTAAAAAAGAAAATGAATGTGAAAAATTATAGAAAAAAAAAAAGAAAAAAAAGAAAAATTGAAATTTTCCGATGATAAAAAAAAAGTACGTTTGATAAAAGATAATAAATTTCTATGAATTACGAGAAATTAAAATTGAATGTTGAATTTTCCACGGGACACAAAAATTTTCCCTTTCGAAAATTATTTATTTATTTATTTATTTTTTTTTTTCAAACGTCAAAAAATTGTTGACACCATCCTTTCACATAAAAAAAAAAAAAAAGAAAAAGGTTAAAGAACTCTTTGGAAAAATAATAATAATAATAATAATAATAATAATTTTTTCCCCTAACGAACGAAAAATAAAATTTTTTTTTTAAATCCGCCATTTTCTCTTTTTTTTTTTTTTTTTTAATTATCATTTTCAATAATAATTAATATTTAACAATGAAATGATTTAAAAAAGAGAGAGAGAGGGAGAGAGAGAGAGAGAGAAAGAAAGAGAGAGAGAAAGAGAGAAAGAAAGAGAGAAAGAAAGAGAGAAAGAAAGAAAGAGAGAGAGAGAAAGAGAGAAGGAAAGAGAGAAAGAAAGAGAGAAAGAAAGAAAGAAAGAGAGAAAGAGAGAGAAAGAAAGAGAGGAGAGAGAGAGAGAGAGAGAGTGTGCGTGTGTGTGCGTCACAAAAAGAAATTGAAATTGTTTTGTAATAATTTTTTTTTACATAATAATAATAATAATAATAATAATAATAATAATAATAATAATAATAATAATAATGATAATAAAAAGGAAAAAACCTTTGTGTTATTATCAATATTTCTTTCATTTCAATTAAAATCAATTATTTTAATAATTTTGTGGGCGAATAATGAAAAAAAAAAAAAATGAAAATGAAAAATGGTGGGGGAAGGAAAGGGGTGAGAGGGAAGAAAAGGGGAGGAGAGAAAAAGAAAGGGGAGGGAAAAAAATGATATTTTATTACCGATGAAAAATATTGAAACCAATTTACAATATTACTTTTAAATTATTATTTTTTTAAGTCATTCATTTATAATTTTTTTTTTTTCTGTTTGTTTGTTCGTCGTATTATTATTATTGTTGTTGTTGTCGTCGTCGTTTGTTTGTTTGTTTGTCGAATATTTTGTAATATTATAAAGAATTTATTTTCTTATTAAATAATTTTTAAGAAAAAAAAAAAGAGACTTACCGGAAGTTACATAAATGATATATAAAATCTTCTTTTTTATCTAAAAGTTGTTTGTTTTGTGGTAGTCTTATGGGTGGCCACATGATCATTTTTTCCAAAGTTTGATTTGTCATTGCAAATTGTTCTGAAATGTTTGATCTGGAACAACAAACAACAAAAAATAAAATAAAAAACGAGGAAGGAAAAAAAAATAAACGTTTTCATTAGTTTTTTTTTTTTTTTTGTTTTTATCGACGGGAAATTTTTTTTAATTTTCAAAAGTCGTAAAATTTAACGCTTTCCCATCATCCCCCTTTTTTTTTTTTATATAAAAAAAATTAATGTAAAAAAGAAAGCGGGGGTTTCGGTAATTAAAAAAAAAAAAAAAAAGGAAAAAAATTTTTACCTCAAAGGTTGAAAACTTTTATTTGTAAAAACAAAAAAAGCAACTTCCGATCTTTCCAATTGCATTTGGGTAACAAATTTACCAAGATCCGTAGCGATCGCAACCTGGAACAAACACAAAAAAAATTTCTCCTTAGAATTGTTTGTACGACAAACAATAATAATATTAATTATTTAATTTACCTGAGTTTCGACATCTTGTATGTCGTTTCTATATTCCAATAAATATTGTAACGACATGGTTGTTTGTACGATCAATGCGAGTATGGGTATAAATGGTAGAATAATCATTTGAGTGAGTTGAAACCTTCTGTTTCTCTTATATGTTGGATTTCCAGCATCCGGACAACATAATCCGTTAAATCCTTCGCTCGGTGCTTCGCTTATGTTACTCATTTCTGATAAACTATCTTCTTCTTTAGGAAATTTAATTGCCGGATATGTGGTGGTCAAGTCCATGGGATTTTTCGAATGACCATTTTGTACTGATTTTTGTGACATTCTGCTCCACTTTTTACAACCGATACAAATAAAAAATATATTATTAACAGACGAAAACACAATCTTCCCTTTTCTTTCCACCTCCACCCCCTCCCTACCCCTTCCCCATCGAACCAATACTATTGATAAAGAGTAATTTAAATGTCCATCCGGGGAGAAACAAAAAAAATGGGCGTTCAAAAAAAAAATTAATTAATTTAATCATGGCTTACATTGACATGAAGTAAAAAAAAAAAAAAAAATTATGCATGAACAACTCGACGACATGTTAATTTATTAAAATTAATAATAATAATAATAATAATAATATCATCATTCATTTTTATTATCGATTTATTAATGAAATTATTAATAATTTTTTTTTTTTTGTTCAATCGAACGTATTTTTTTAAAACATTGATAACTTAACGTCATCGTTAATAATAATAATAATAATAATAAGTTATTGATAAAGACGTACATTAATAATTTTCTAATAAATCGATAAATATTATTAATACATATTGATTTTTTTTTTTTTTTGTTAATTCGACGATAACAATTGAAAATAAAGAAAAAAAAATTATTAAAGTTATTATTACTTTTCTTTATACGGTACTGAAAAAAAAAAAAAGAAAATTCATTTAATTTTTTTTTTTTTCTTCCAGGTAAATGAAAGATGTTTTCATAAAATTCATTTTCTTCTTCGTTATTTTTTTTTCTCCTTTTGGTTGGATGTCGCCATGTTTTTTTTTCTT